GCATCCGATGAAGGTACTGCTGTGCATTTGGTGGGATATCCGAGGCGTGATCTATTTTGAGCTCTTGCCAGCTGGAGAAACGATCACTGCCAACAAGTATTGTCAGCAATTGGTCGAATTGAAGAAAGCAATTGATGAAAAACGTCCGATTTTGGCCAATCGCAAAGGAGTTCTTTTCCATCATGACAACGCCAGGCCACATGTTGCAAAACCGACCCTGGCCAAACTGAAGGAGATGAATTGGGAAATCATGCCGCATCCCCCATATTCACCCGACATTGCACCTTCTGATTATCATTTGTTTCGATCGCTGCAGAACAATTTGAATGGAAAAAAATTTAAAAATGTGGAAGACGTCAAACCTTTTTCAACGAGAAACCGTGCGATTTCTATGAATCAGGAATCCGTAAATTGGTTGAACGTTGAGAGTGGATTGCCGAACATGATGGCGAATACATAATTGATTAATAAAAGCGCTTTCTTCAAGAAATTTCAATTTTAGTTTGCACTTGAAATCGGGCACGAACTTATGCACTCATCCACTAACGAAGACGGGTTCTCAGGACGGGTGATGATGTTGCGAATAATACGCTCAGTCGGCCGAGTATGTCGATCATAAGTTGAACGAAGCGCGCGAAACACATTCCTTACAGAACGTGAATTTTTATAATAAAATTGAACGATTTGTAAACGTTGTTCAGGCGTAAGTCTTTCCCTGAGGAAATGACAAACAATTCTGAACAAAAATAATATGACAACTTGGCACGACTCACGCGTGATCTGTCAAAAAAGGTTATTGAAAGAAGTACTTCTAATTGGATCACCCGTTATATGTATATACGTACAAATGCGAAACTATGTTTATTGAACTTTTAAATACACAAATATGCATAAATATATATGTACATAAGAACTATATGCACATTTCTATGTATAACACTGATTTTCGCATATAAAAACCAATTGAGCGTAAAGTGGCTGCAATATACATACATATATGCAACTAAAGCAGCTTAAGGTAATTTATGCGCAAAAAAAAATTTAAATAAAAAATTAAATTTCAAAATGTCAACCTTTTCAGCATAAAGTGGAGGATTAAAAATCATACATATATATGTATATATGATACATACAACTTTCAGCTTTTTTTAGATTTATGAGCTAAGATTGTATTTACGTCTTTCATCCCAAAATTGATTACTAATGCCTCATTTAAAGGGTTTGAAAAAACTGATTAGATTTTAAGAGTATATTCACAGATGAATAAATAAATAAAATAGATGCTACTTAAATATATATTTTTTATAAAATAAAATGAAAATTAAAAGGCAAAAAAACAGCATATTTAAATAATAAAATAAATATAAATTTAATGAAATAAAAATAAAATTAAAAATTTGGCGCTCAACGTGATTTAATGGGAAAAGGTATTGCAGTGCATAAATACCAAAGTCATAACTGTTAAAAGAAATATTAAAAAAAAAACTGGGCAATAACTGTTATATCGTAAAAATAATTTCTTCCACTTTTCAGTGTTGATTTTTACATATTTTCATTTTTTAAATTGCCTCAACAATTATTTTCAATAGAAACTTTTTCTGTTGCCCGCAAAGTTTATTTTTAATTTCTTTTCTTTTTTGTTTGTCTCTGATATATATTTATTACTTCACAAAGAAAAAACTATTTTTGAAATTCATTTTTGTCTGTATCGAATTTTTCACATTAATTTTCTTACTTTCTTTTGATTAAATATACTCATATACTTAAAATTAAGCTTCATGCTGAAAATAGAGCACACAAATTTTATTCCCACTCATACAAATATACTTCATATTCACTCAATAACCACAAAATGTTTAACATAATTTGCAGAAACAAAAAATGTATATTAACCAATAATCACAATGATATTTTGGATTAAAATTACCGCTTTGGGATTACACAAGCTACAAATTTACACAAAAATGTTAAAAATATGCTAATATAGACAAATACATGTGTATTTATTCAAGGACTTTGTGATTTTTTCTTTTCGGGTGAATACGCACATAGCCAATTCTCCGTTTTTATTGTATCCTTTTGCCTTTTTTGTCGTCACACTCGTAACACCTGAAAAGCTATTAACCTTTTTTAAAGTTACGTTGTTATTTTCTTTTGTTATAACCCATTTTGCTTAGGCAGCCGCATGTGGAGTTTCAAATGTATGTATTTATATTTAAATATACCTGAATATACATATACATACATACATACATAGCAGGTACGCAGGTGCATAAATTGAAATTACTTCTTTGTTAATAGATTTGAAAAAATAATTTGAAACGAATTTTAAGCAAAAAAAAAAAGAATATGAAAATGTAGAAGGATTTTTATATAATCATCTAGTTTGTCATCAGCATTCATTGGTGGAATAAATATGTAGACGACACATGTAAATTTCACATTTCTGACATAAAAAAATCACAAATGGTCACTTTCAGGTCAAAAAGTATTAGAATTTTTAGTCTGGCTCGTTGCTCCTCTGCCTATCTTGCATTTTTTCATTTACATATATATTCTACTATTTTCCCCGAAAGTATTTGTTATATATAAGGCTGTCAAATATCTCCCTTCCGCTTTTTTGCTCTTCATTCAATGCTTTATAAAAAGTGTTCCAGTGATCGGATTTAGTTAAAATATGCGCCGTTTTATTCGATGATCTGTTTCCATCCAGACGGCAACTTCATAATACCTTCCTCGTAGAAGCCCTCCTTCTTATTTGCGAAGCCACTTTTCACAAGCCTCTTTTGAGTTCAACTTCACACCACCAAGGACATTCGCCATGGACAGAAACAGGTGGTAATCACTTTTCGCTACGTCCGGGCTGTATGGTGGATGCGATAAAACCTCCCATCCGAGCTCCCCTATCTTCTGACTAGTCATCAACGAAGTGTCTGGTCTGGCGTTGTCCTGGTGGAACACTACACCCTCCCTGTTGGCCAATACTGGACGCTTCTGATCGATCGCCTGCTTCAAGCGGTCCAGTTGTTCGCAATAGATAGTAGAATTAAGCGTCTGACCATATGGGAGCAGCTCATAGTGGATGATTCCCTTCCAATCCCACCAAACACACAGCAAAACCTTCCTTGGCGTCAATCCCGGCTTGGCCACGGTTTGGGACGATTCACCGGCCTTCTACCGAGACCGTTTTCGCTTGATATTGTCATATGTGATCCATTTTTCGTCGCCAGTCACCATCCGCTTCAAGAATGGGTCGAGTTCGTTCCGTTTCAGCAGCATATCGCAGGCGTTGATTCGGTCCAGAAGGTTTTTGTGCGTCAAATTATGCGGCACCCAAACATCAAACTTTTTTTTGTATCCAGCCTTCTGCAGATGGTTCAAAATGGTTTGGTGACTAACTCCCATCTCCTGGACGATGTCACGAGATGCCATATGCCAGTCTAACTCGATGTATTCCATGATTTGATCGGTATTTATCGTCACAAGTCTTCCGCCGGCTGGCTTATCCATGGTGTCGTTTTCACCGGCTCTGAATCGTCGAAACCATTCCTCCGCGGTTCGAGGTGATAGAGTACCATCCCCCAAAACACCATTAATCTCATCAAACTAATCATGCGTTTATAGGTTGTGTCAAGACCTTTCAAATTATGTATAGTGTTGCCAGATACGAGCTCTGCAGCGCTTTGTACATAGCCGCGAAATTCAAAAGACAAAAAGGGGAAGGGAGATATTTGACAACCTATTATGTATATATTCGTAATATTATTTATAATACAATTTTTTGAGTTAATGTAAAAAAAGAAGAAATCATTAGTTTGTTTCACATGACCTACCCTGTACTCTACATTTTACTAGACTAAAATAGTTGCAACTGAAAAATAATTACCGTGTGCTAATATTGGGGACAAACATTTAATTAAAAACAAATTATAGCAAAATTATTAACTTACCTATCGCTTTTTATGATATCACTTTAATTACTGATTTTTAAATTGAAGGCTTTTATATTTGCTTCATCATAATAAACACATATATACACACACACTTTTTCTGCTACCGGCACATTAATTCACACCTTAGAAGAAATGTTTAAGCACAAAATAATCATAGTGAACACTTTTCACTTTATTTCACATAAAATCACTCACTTTATTACATTGCTATAGTAAAACGAATACATGTACCATAATTTATTTAATATTTAATTTCACACAAACGCCGTAGCGGAAATTCCATAACCGAAGGCGATATTTAAAGCGCGATTTTTAAATGGCGGCGGAAGTTTGACAATTGGAAGGGTTGTATTCGTGCATGAAATTATACAGAGCTGTGAAAGTAAAATTTATCGCAGGTTGTTAATAATATTATTTAAAAGTCAATAGTGTTGTAGCTGAATATGCTTAGGAAATAATTTAGAGAATAGAAAAACTTGAAAATAAAAATAAGGGAAATCAAAGCAGGCAATATTAAAAGAAAAAAAGAATTTACCCACGGTAAGGCACTTTCATCGTGAGAGGCGACTAAAATCTAATAGTTCCCGTGTATATATGTATATATATATACAAATAAAAGTAACAATGCGTGAAAAAGCTGAGTGCCACATCAGGAATACCGCCAACATTCTTATTGGAAAATGTCAAATAAAAGCAATCCTGAAAGCAAATATTATTCCCGCGACAGTGTGGTGACCGGGATGTATGTCCGACTAAGGGACTGTCACCTCAGCAATATATACGCATGTTCGCGGCTATAACAACAAAAACAACAACAACAATGAAAACAAAATTAAGTAAATGAATACCTCCTAACATAAAATACAGAAATTACATCCAGCAGGGAAACTCACCAAGGTTTATATTCAAGAAAATTCAATGTCGTGAGCAAGTCAACAGCAACCATCACACTAAGGCAACAGTAACCGCAATTATCTAAACAAATAAGTTTTTGCCTTAGCGATACAAATGCATAAATAAATAAAAAACAATAATAAAACGTTTATATAAATTTAAAAAGGATGTAAAGAATTTATTTGTGGTACAGACAACTAAACGCCAAGAGTTTAAATGACGTGTTATACTCTACTTTATCGCTTAATCACAAATACATTTGCAGAAATCTAGGTACATATATCATTTTACAAAGAAAACTTCGCATAAAACCCAAAAATAAAGGAAATTAAATAAAATGAAAGTAAATATTAAAATTTGTATAGTAAAAGTGCATCGGAACTGATAATTTAGCATGCAGATGATACGTCATGAAGTTCGTGCACTAAAATCTATTTCACAGTTCCAAGTCCAGTTTTTAATTCATTGCATACATTTATTCTGAAGGTATCACTTTTTTTTATAATTTTACTATTACTATATTAATTCCTCTCTTGATAGCAACATATGTATGTAATCCACAGTGTTATAATTATATTAATTTTGTATTTATGAATGTATTTTTGTGTATATTATATATTGCATACATATACATTGTTTTTAGATTTCTTAAACAATAATCGCCAGCATGGAGCAACAAATGAAAAAGTGGGCTCATTGCATAAATATTTATTTATGTATGTTAGTATGTTGTATAGAGAATTTGGTACTATGCGAACAATAACCAAGCAATGCACAAGACGGCCAAATACAGAAATAATTTGGATAATTGCTGTTCATCATCGTATTGTGTGGTGCCACGATTGGCAGCTGTAAGGAAAAGTGGAATTAGTACGACTGTGCCTTTATATGTATTTTTTTCAAAAACAATCAAAAATCTTAAAACTTACCCGCAGCGCGTGGTTCGCCGAAATTGAACGAAGAGGCAAAATATCCAAATGGAAAAGCACCAATACCGAAGGACATATGGAAGCCATCGCCGAAGCCGAAACCCTGAAAACCTTGTGCTGGTTCAGGTTCACTACGTTGACCAGCAGGGCGTGGTGGCACCTTATTTCTGTGAAAAATTTACCAATTATTTATTTATTTGACTTGACAAAAAAAAAGCCACTTCAATGCATGCACATTACCTTGGATCTTCTTGTTTAGCGCTGTTGCGTCCATACAGTGGAATCACCTTGTCTTTGCCAATAGCTGCTTTACACACTGGACATAATTTGCAATTTGGCCGTGTCTCCAACCATTGATGCAAACATGGCCAACAAAAGAGATGACCGCACATGCTGACAACTGCATCCTTGGCGGTATCGAGACAAATATTACACTCATATATGGAATCGTCCATCTTCTCTTCTTCTTTCTTATTGGCTGTGGAGTCACCATTAGTTGTAGTGGTAGTACTTGTTTCGGTCTTAAGATTCTTTATGTTTGCTGTTGAATCGCTACCCAATGCGCTGCCTGTAAACGAGTACGCAGTGGAAGTTGTTGTTTTCGTTGCATTATTTGTAGTTGCGGCTGCGGCTGACCCAGCGGTGGCATCATCACTGGTGGATTTAACTACAGTTCCTTCTGATGGTGTTTGTGTAGTTTGTGGTGCGGTAGAGGTTGGTGAAGTCTGTTCTGTGCCATTAACTGAATTATCAAAATAAGTCCAACCGCCGGGCATAGATTCAGCTGGCGGTGCTGAGGCTTCATCCTGAGTTGATGTGGGCAATTCCGGCGCCGAAGGGGCGTGTGTAGTTTGTGTTGACATATTGCTGAATTATTTCCAGGTTATTCCAAAGTTGTCCAAGTGAGCTAAAAGAGAGTAAGAATAAATGCAATTAAAAAAAACAGGTTTTTCCTTTAAAAGCTGTGCTGCCGCTGTGTGTATTCAAAGATGTTTTATGAAATTAAGTACATTTTTACAGTGGGAATTGTCTTCCGTGCCACCGTACAACCATCCAAGCTAACCAAATTAGCAACAATTGGAAGTAGGCCTACTAAATACACAACTCGGCTGTAGTAAGTGTATAAAATAACGATTTAAAAGAAGAAACCACACGAATTTGCACACTGAAAGATTTTTTCAATAAACAAGTTGTGATTTCACTTTCCGCAAAATTATATTTTTAATCAGTTTCCTCAGCGAAACCAGTTTACATTTTATTACGGCATGCTTGAGACGGCGCTTTTTTTTCATTTTTTATATATTTATTTAGTACGGATAAAGTATTCGTATATTGCGGCAAATTATCAGAACCAGTCTTGCGAATTTGCTGCTTTATGGAATATAACTACATTCATGCGTATAAATTTATATAATTCCCAAGTACGGACGAAACTTATTTGGTCTTCGCTCAAAAGATAAGAACAGCTTTTTATTTATTAAGCAAAATGATTAACTATACAAGAAACATTGTGTACATGTGTACATATGTATTTATGCTCTACGAATATATTAGATATGATAACGCCTAGCTGATTATTCTTGTGCTATATTCTTATTCTTGTTTTTCGTTTATTATCGTTTTGTTTGCTTTTACATACACTTCTAAACGCCAAAAATTTAGTTTCTCTCTAACGAGTTTGAGACAACTACTGAATTCCTGCTTTTCCAAATTGAAAGCTTAGCTTTCAATATACGTTAATGTGAAATAAACTGGTGACTAGTGTAGACTGACGTGTAATTCTCAGCCGATAATTAGCATCTTAGCTTGTTCACACTACATTTTTCCGCATCACATGCCCCTTTGCCCATATTTGCACTGTACATGTGCACATATTCTCATATCAGCACTACTACTACAATGGCAGCGTTGCGTCAATCATAAAGCGCCACCTTCTCCGCATCAACCGATCCCAACCTGTGATACGGTTTTTCATTATATATCTATATATACATGCATCTACATACATATATTTTTTCTGTTTTGTACTTTGCCTTTGTTATTGAAATCTTTGCTCAACTCTTTTTACATTCTTCTATGTATATACGTTGCCTATAACACGTATGCCAAGATTGCAACAGTTTTTCACAATTTTTCCGTTTACAATACAGTAACAAATATTTTCCAACCACAAATTCTATGGCCTATCCATTTTTGCAAAACTTATTTTTTTACAATGATAATAAATGCAAGCAAAAAAGAATTGGAAAGGCGTTAACATTTCACTTAATGAAGGTCGTTCTAGAAGTAATGCTTACTTTAACGTAAAAATGTCGTCATCAACTCTCTACACATACGTATTCCAATTAATTTAATTTGCAAAATAAATTATTTTCTTAAATAAACCACAAAAATAGAATTTTAAAATCTTGTTTTTTCCGTATCAAATCTAATTAGATAAAATGTGTTTTTTATGCTCCACTGATTTCTTATGACGTTTTCTTTCGTTTGTTTTATATCAGCTCAACACGCAGTGTTGTATTTCAAAATTTCAGTATGAGGAAAAAAAGAGTGTAAAAATTGGCTGTGTTTCATAGCTAAATTAAAACCTAAAGTTGTACAGATATTGTTTATTGAAAATTAATGCGCTTTTTTGGCTAAAAACATACTATAATAATGTTTTTGCGAAGAAATAATTATTTAGTCGTTTAACACACAAACTAATAATTACTTTAAATATTGTTTCTTCAATCTTTAGTACGTAAATGCAACTCTTCGTCATTTTCAATTTCCGCTGACATTTCCTCTATTCCGTTTTAGTTTCCGCTAAAATTTTCTTTTGGTAAAATCTAAATCGAAAAATTTATAAATGAAAGCCGCTGAAATTCAATATTTTCGAAATATTTTTCATTTAAACTACAACAAATTAAACTACTTTTAGTTTTTATGCATTTGTGATGTAATTATGATAGAGTAATAAAGTGCTGAGTGTGCTTAGAAGTGTTTGTGCGTGTGGAAAGTATTTAAAAGTGAAAATCCGTGAAACGTAATAGGAGAAACTGTATAGCATAGAATCGAAAGGTCTTCAAAAAAGTATGTATTTTCATAATTTTTTAATTCAAACCCGATATTTGAGCACGAGCGGCAGTGGGTAGGTTCACGTTTACAATTCGTGTATTATAGTGCCGTATTAAACCCATAACTGTCCTGTCTACAAAACAACTTCTTAACAAAAATTCAACTTTTAACGTTTTGAATGTTTACAATTTCTATCTTTCAAGCTCTCGTTCTGTTTTCCTCTTAGCAGTATCCCCCTAGCAGATACCGACGGGCAATGTGCATCGCTGCTGACACCCGAGTGACCTGCCACCTAATTTAACAGAAACCTAGAGAGGACCTTGGCGATGCGATCGGACCGGGATATGTATCCATACTTCTGTATGAAATGTTCCTACTTTGTAAGGTTCATGGCAGTGGGTATAAATAGGGTAGAAAAAAAAACAAACAAACAAGAAGAGAGCGATAGTAGTTCTACTGTCAAATCTATGCTGAAACAGAAGGGTGCGTCAATCCTTGAAACTCTGACGTAGAAAAGCAATCTGGCTGGCTTATACGACAATAAAGAGGAAGTCTATAGCAAAACTCAGTAAAGAGGGGTTGAAAACCAAAGTAAATTATGTGTAAGGTGACGGTCAAAGTTCATGAGAAACTTAGCCACAAGTTCAAAAGGACAAAGGAAGGAGGAAGCTATTTACGTCAACGTATCCACCAATATGATCAAGGGAAGTATTGCCAACTGAAAGCGAAAGCTCGGCCAAACATCGTCGAAGATGGTAGCAACGATCGATAAGACAGCCAAGAAGCATCTAATACTGACGCTCATTGACCTCGCAACCTTCTGGGACAAATTACACAGAAATGCTATAGGACAGTGGAACTAAAGCTGCTATGCGCGCTCTTTACGAAAATTGATAGCACGGTTATAAGAAATTTCGATGGCCTCGACCTATTTGAATGTAACAAAGTTACAAAATGGAAAAAATTAACCAGCTGTGGCTAAAAGAAGCTGTTTTGGCCGTTTTGGATATAGTGAACCGTAGGAGTATGCTGTTCGCACTGAAAACGCAGTCCCTAAAATCAAAGGATCTTGAAGCTTACAGACTCCAGCAAAGACCAAGGTAACCAGAATTACATCTTCCAGACAAATAAGTGGGGTGATTTTAATCTAGAGCCGGTTTTGAGAAGATGGCATAGGCAGCGAGTACCTTCGCCTCTCATACTCCCAAGATCCATCAACATGATGTACCGCTATACCGGTCAAATACTCTACATTTTGTTTCAGTGTGATGCAAAAAAACAAATCAGAAGTGGCATATATTTGTACGTGTCGCCTTCAAATGCTGGATCCTCATTTTGTACAAGCTGTATTTAAGGTATTTATCTCTATTATTGCTAATAACTTAATTTTTAATTGTTCAAAGAAAAAGTAAATAAAGAATTTAGTGAATAAGAAATTGCACTTAACTATGCAAATAAATGTATTAACCGTTTAGTTCTACTAAATAGTGCCTACAGTGAGCGAAAGTGTTAATTCCATTTAAAGTTATCGTTGATTATTCAAAGCTGCAAAGACTGAAACCAAAAAGAAAATAATACATAAATACATACAACGGTTTGCAACCTCTAAAGCGATTTCGGCCAGGCTCCTCCTTCCATTGTAGTGTGTGTGTTGATGCCCGATGGATTCTTAAGAATACTTTTTATTGCATATCAAAAGTACCTCTACCGAGAGGCGATTTTAAAAGTTGCTTGGATTAGGACTCCAACCCAGGCCGACCGAATGATGGTACATACTGCTAATCACTCGGTTTTTGCGACCAAAGAAAACAATACCAACACAAAAAGAAGAGCAAACTTCAAGCTATGTGCTGTTCTAGTATCCAGACGTAGCTGAACGTTTGACATTTTTATTTTAATTTTTTATTTATTTAGTGTCAGTTATAAACTAATGTTTGTCTGTGAAAACTTAAGCGCAAAGACCAATACCGTTGTTTAAGTTAGTACATGGCCAAGCTTATGTAGAACAATACATGCTTTGTTTCTAGCTCAGACAAACAAAAAAGCCGATGGGATAAGATTTATAAATCAGCCCAGACGTTCATTGGCCAGTATTAATCGAGTTGTGGACAGCGGTGGTTCAGTAGGAATAGAGAAAACTAAAATCGCTAAAAAGGAGTACAAAATCAACCGTCAAACCATCAAAAATGAAGACATTTATTTGCTTACTAGCTCTCGTTGCACTGGTAGTCCCTGGTCAGGCGACTTTTGGTAAATTAGCGCTGCTCTCGGGTATAGGCGGCGAAGGCGGTGGAAATTATGGTCCTGGCTATGGACCTGGTTATGGTGCTGGTTACGGTGGTGGCTATGGTTATGGCAGAAGCTATGGATATGGCGGCGGCTATGGTGGCTACGGCATTACACCATATTCCAACAGTGGCGAGAATGTAGTCAAAGTGATTAAAGTGTCTGTGTTGCCCGGCGGTGGTTACAATACTGGTGGCTATGGTGGTTACAATACTGCTGGCTATGGTTACGGTGGTGGCGTTTATAATGGCGGTTACGCGAGTGGCGGTGTAGCTTATCCTTCTGTATCCACATCAGCGGTTGTAACACCTGTTGTGACAGCTGTCTCGACGCCTGTACCAGCTCCAATCCCCTATGGAGCTACTTATGGCAATGGCTATGGTTATGGCGGTGGTGTAGGTCTTGGATATGGCGGTGTTGTTGGTGGCGGTGGTGCAATTGGCGGCGCTGGCATTGGTGGTTTGGGTGCTTTGGGTCCAGGTGGTTGGTGTTAAGTGAAAAATGCGATATGTAACTGTAATTTTATTGAAGGCTATGATTTTGAAAATGTATATATGTTTGTAATTATAACGGTTTGTTCAGTATTAAATCGAGGAAAATTAACATTGTTGATTTTGAAATAAATGAATTAAATCTATATTGTTTTTTTATTATTATTTTTTAATATTAATATGCATATATATTTACTCTCATCGCTCTCAATTCTTCTTTGGTCCGTTTGGTGCTCACACACGTGCAGTTGTCCATTTTTCTGTGTAAGTAAACAATTAGCGCTTTTCGGGAATCACTTTTAGCACTGATGAATTATATATGTAAATAGCACATATGTACATATGCTTATGTAATCTCTATGTATTTAAATAATCCATTTTGGTGATATACCAGCGAAAAGCCGGTGAAAAAACCCAAATGAAATACTTAGAATTTGTGTTGGACGAGCAAACAAATATAAATGTTTTGCGCAAATAAAATTGAAAAATGGCTAAAGACCTTTAGAAGAGTGAGGTCATCGACGGTGTTAAAATAAAAGTATATTTTGAACTTTCACATAAAATTTTGTTGTAAATAAAGCTTAGCCGCTTTCGGAAAAACTGTACACTAACCTTCCTTTCCATATGATAGAAGCAGCTCATGACTTCCAATCTCAGGCCAGCGAATCTTCTGGGTAGCTAACAAAAGCCCTTTTACAGTTGTGAGTAGAATTAGGGACCCATAACATAGGGAAACACAGAAACAAGCCTTGGCTGAGAGATTTCTTTTTGAGGATGAGCAGATTGCTGTCCTAGAAAAATTTTGGCTAGCATCACTGCCGTCAAAGAAGTGCGCTGGACGGGATAAGTACGGAAGAAGATGGGTTCTTGTGAAATCCACTACTGTTGATATGCAAAGGAACGCAAATTAAGAACCACTTCGCCGTCGAGTCCTAACATTTACTTCTGTGCCGCGATCCTCTCCTTTCTTGAGCTCATCCTGATTTCCACCTACAGCCCATCAGAAAAGTAGGACCATATAACCAAAAATGATTTCTGTAAGCAGCTAGAAAGTTCGCCAACCCCATACCGAATTCAGGAATCATAACGAAATATAGCCAAACGGGTTGACACTGATCGACCTCGCTGTGAATCGAAATATGGTGGCATCGATTTTTCTGCACCCAAATCGATATCATGTTGTGACATACTATCTTATACTAGCGGTGATGCGTACCCGCCTCTGTGTGGCAAAGAACGCCCCTCAACACATGTAGGGAAGGCTCGGCCTCGAAAGACTGCCTACGGAACAAACATCAAGCCGTCTATCTACTCGTCACACTTTCATTCAATCATCTTCAGACAGTAAGCCGGCTTCATACTTTCATTCCTTCAACTCAAGTTTTCTACGGACATCAAATAGAGATATAATTGGTTTTCGGCAATGTCCGAAAAAGGAACTTCGAACTGCAGTGCAGACAAGACAAACTACCCACCTGGCAACGTGACTGGTGGGATAGATACCAAGAACGGAAGAAGGAAGCGAGTGGCATTTGCCGACAAGACAAACTAGAAGTATTAGAGAATGTGTCCGTTTTGTGGAGTTTTTATCACGTTTATTGTGGGAAATACTAAGGATCAACGTCAACAATTCTTTAAGACTTTCTTAGTGTGACTGAAATACACACAGAGGGATTGACATTGTTATCCACCCGACCATTGCGGCCGCCGTGACTTTAGACAAAGTAAATCCATCATTGACCTGTTATTCACTATGCCTCTTCTATGGGAAACAAACAGTAAGAACAAATATCGCCACACAATACATATTCGTTGAATTTGACGCTGAGCAACACTCCCAGCACCATTTGAATTGGGAGATCCTCTCAGAACCGATCGGTACCAAACGAGGTTTCAGACAAGCCCTTTTATGTAACATAGGAGGTACAATAATTTATTAGAGTGTATTAGAGATAACAACCGCTAATGAGCCGGCGTTAGGAATTCTCACTACGAAGGGTTACCGGCGGATTTATGGTCCTCTAGGTATGAAGACAATGGGACAAACAACTGTACGAGTTATACGGGGACATTGATATAGTTCAGCGAATCAAGAAAGAGTGACTCAGCTTCGAAAGTATGGAACACTATACCTTCCAGTGGAAGCAGGGTAGGAGGAAGAGCTCAACTCCATTGGAAAGATAAAGTCGGTAAGATTCTGGCTTCGCTTTCTATATACAATATAATTGGCAATAAAGAAAAAGACAGAGAGAGAAAATGTATTCTAATATCTTACGCTCTCCTCCTTATCGAGTATTTCTTGCATTTGTCAATGTTGATTACGTTCGCTGCTCTCATGAATCACTCTGAATTATGACTAGCTCTCTTCGAACCAAATATCCACTTTTTCAAAAAATTCACGATAAATTTCATTAATGTTGATATATAAATATGAAGTCATGTACAAATATGTTGACCTAAAAAGAGTTCGTTTTTTGAAATATTTATTGGAAATCCATGGCCTATACTAATATACACATATACGATTGGATCTACATATGTATACAAGGGGATCAACAAAAGTTCGGTTAGTTGGCCAGAAATTTTTTTTGGATTTATTCGTAATCTTTGTACCTTTTTATCTTCTCTACATAATCAATTCAATGCATTTCTTAAGCCTGTAGATCCACTTCTGAAAACAGTCTTCAAAATCTTGCTTTTAAGCTAAACAAGTTCGACATTAACCGGATTAATTATCTCATCGTTGATATTAAAAAATTTTTTTTTAATTTTTTTTTTAATTTTTGCTGGACGTATTTCTGCGATCCCAGAGATTGCAATAAAGTCACTTGTTATTTCAGCAATTTGAAATGGCGAATCATGATGTAAAAAATAGCACCTCAAATCCTCTTCCTTGCTGTTTTCCAACAAATTTTGAGCTCCATACTCTGGACTGCTGTTTGGTTTCCGGGACGTACTTATTGAGCCGAAATTTGTCACCAGTAATGACTTTTAAGTTTACAGACTGACTATTTTCGATTTTGTTTAGAAAAAAGTTGAGCAAAGTACACTCGAGCCACTTTTTGGGTCTCATTAAAAATTCGTGGTACCCATGGAACGGATTTCTTTATGTATCCCAGATGATTTCTTCATGGCATTCAAGCTCTATTTAAGTAAGAAGTGCATTTGTTCCACATGCAATTTGAGATTCCTGAATATTTTTATTGGCAGTAAATTACGCCGCAACCCGAAGAGATTGACGCAGCGAGTTTCGGTTGGCGTTGCTGGTAGAGTTTCGCCTGTCCTTGCTCAGTCTATTTTTCTTTTCTCCTCTCCATTTTAGCCTATCGTTGTCAAATTTGAGGAGAAAACTAATAAAGTAATTGCGAAAGATTTGATATTTTTAGATCTAACAAAAACCAATTGAAAGCCACCAACTGTCCGAACTTTTGTTAATCCCCTCGTACTTGCCTTTAGCATGTACTGGAAATGATGTGTATGCATTAACCAACACATAAATTCGTTAAGTTTGCATTTTTATTTTATTTTTATATTCTATTTGCAAGTAGCCCAATCATGCGTAGTAGTTTTGGTGAATTTTTCTTCTTTTTTTTGGAATAAAATTTCACACCTTATTAATATGAAAATCATAAAAATCAACAGTCGGGAAAACGCATCCGACCCGAGTTGAGTTATTCAAATAAAGTGGCCAAACAATGGTGACCTTCAATTTCGAACACAAAAAGCGCTTGCTGTTCGTGTGTACGCTGCTGTCGCACAATGAATCAATGAATCGTTGAAAACGAGAGTGAGCCGTTCACCCTACAAGTGTATTGTTGTCACTCACCCACCTCATTCATAGCATGATATTTATGCTGGCGCTGCTCTGTAGTTGCACTTTGCTGGCTACTGGCTGACAATGGTAATTAGTTGGACGCGCATGCGCTCAGCTTTTCATGTGTACACGCTAAAAGGTCTCTAACGAGCCAAACCCCGAAACTTACTTCTACATCCATGCATATGTACATGCATGTATGTGTATGTACCGAGTTTGTTTGCCGGCATTTTTCGCCTTCAACTGGGTTATGCATGACAATGTTGAGCAAATACGATCGTTTGTGCTACGTATGGATTAGTATTTTTACACATTAGGGTCATCCTAAAAATCTCAGTAGCAAATTTGTGGAGTATCAAGTGTACGATCCGATAGGCGATGCGCTGTTTCGAATAGATTTCTTTGAAAGAACTCAAAACTCTCTGTAAAGACGTTATTTTCGGAGCTCTAAGCGTCAATTTTCATAGTCCTATAAGGCTTACTGGGTTAGCAAATTACAATATAATGGCGCAACTCCTTTTCATGCTATATCAAAGACTGCTTTGAAATCGATGAAAAGATGGCCACTCTTCTCTCGAGTATTTTTCAAGGTTTTTCGCACGGCGAATATCTTCTAGTCAATAATGAATCGACCAGATCAAAAGCTCAGTCGTTGGCTTACCGACCCACCGCTTTGCTGTCCTTCATGCAGGCATTTATTATTTTAACTTTTTAATATTCAGGTAATGGAAGGCCTTTACCAACCTCATCCATTTGCTTCTGCCATTCAGCAGACTACAGACAGAAAACTTAGTGTACTCTGAGCACTAGTCGTTGGATCCTCCCTTTTGGTCTGACGGTCTGCGGTCTCGAAACCTTTTGTAAGTCGTCATCGAGCATTACTACCATCTGCCAGCTTCTCACGCACTTCATTCTATCTTTTTTTATCTGCAAGAGGTCCTTCAAAGGCTCAAAGCCAATTTCAGAAAACAAGTTGTTTCGATGCGCTCGGACCAGGAGAAAAGGGGAAGAGATGAGTAGGATTTAAGGACCATGCAAAAGGGTGGCTGGGTATGACGCAGTCAAGTCTAAACCAGTAAGAATTAAGTCAACTACAATATCCAGATTTTAATTGTGCCAATATTAATCGGGTGTTTCGAGGCACACTCGAGCTCTCGGTCTGCAGTAAGAAGTGCTTGGATTCCCAAAACGCCGCTCACTGGAAGTGTATTCAAGAAGGTGTTGACAGACACTCGTTGAATCCATTTTAAAGTTTGTCGTTAGGCCCTTCCGCCTAGCGGCTATCTATGGGACTGCATGGAGTCGTTGTGGTCTAGTACTCCCTTCCTGATA